AAGCCAAAGATTATATCACACTTCAAGCTCACTCAAGAGATTTACATCATACTTCGTTTTTTTAAAATAGGAGGGAAAGTTTTGTTTTCTGTTTGGGATATTTATAAATATCGTGTGAGTGTTTCATCGTTCTTTTTTTCTATTCACCTAATCAAAAATGGATATTTCTTAAAAAAGAATCGGTGCATTGCAAAAAATATAAGATGAATCAAACTGACGTTCATCACGCGGCAAAAACCCGCACGCATTTTTTATTTGTAGTTAATTTTTCAAATTCATGCATCAAGTGGCGAGAAAAAAATCGATTCAATTGGTAAGGTGAGCCCCATCAAATTAATCATTAAATAAAAGATCATGCGTCATTCAAACAATTCGAAAAATTTCTAGAAACTGAACACGTGTATAAACATACATTTTAAACACAGTGATGATCAAATTTTCTCGGTGACTGGTACGAATTTTTTTTCAATTAAAATATTTGACGTGGTTAACAATGTAACAAAAAAAGTTTTTTTCAAGTTATCAAAACAATTTATGGCAAACAACGGATGATCGGTACATTTTTGTTACGAAAAAATGTGCAATGCAATGCAAAAATACGATTATTATTTAAGGATTTAAAAAGATAAAAATACGGAGTCGTATGTTTCGATATAAATGGAATTATTATTTGATCCTTGAATCATTACTTATCTTATCAGTCAATCTAAGATCATTTTTGTTTACCTGTAAATCTGCAAATCTTTTGACTTCTTATATACTCGTAAAAATTCCAAATGGCTCGATTATTGTTTCTTATAAAACAGTGATTCACTATATAAGCGTGAGAATTTTGTTATTTATAGAAAATTCTTGTATTATCTAATGTTTATTTATTTTGAAAAGATCAATGAATCTCTCCGGAGTGTTTGATATTTTATAATTCTCGAGGCAAACGTAAGACAGCATAAAGATGCTTCTAATATTTAGGCTAATGAACTCTTTAGTAAAGAAATCATTGAAAAATTTCACCCACAAGCACGTGTATTTAAAAATAAAACCTCTCTTTGTAATTAACCAATAAAACGTGCTCACGCGTACAATTTTTAACTATTATACCTTCGCCTTGAACTGATGTCGCATCGTGCAAGAATCCACGAGTGTCTCGAAAAAATGTTAAAATTTGTATCGATCCGAAAAAGAGCAGAAAGAAAATCGCCTCAAAATAAACGCGACATCTCCCACGTTTCGAACTCTTATACAGCTATAATATGGTGCTTATATTAAGTGACAGACCAATACATAAATCTAGGTAATGTCTCATACGATGACACTAAATAGCAATTATTGCTCGGGCTTTCACGTACACCCTACGTAGATTGGATTATTTTCTCGCGTAGCTCTGATAACATTATAACGAAGTCGAGTCCATCTGCAATAACTTGGGGGGTAAATAGTTGAGCCAATCAACATGATTTTCGGAGAAAAGTCCAAGAGCCCAACATATGTACGTCTGGGTGGACAATTGTAATATAAATAATAATATCGGTGATTAGCGAGATCCAGACTTTCTTGCGGGAATTTCGACGCGTCGTACGGTTGGACGCAAAATGGATTTCAAGTGCTCGGCCGTGGCTGCGGACACGGCTCGTGCAAATACACGCGCGGATTCGTTAATTTTCGCTGCGAACGAGACACTTGAAAACGTCGGAAAATGAATGCGAATGTGCCGCGCAAAAATGCAAGTCACTGTCACGCGATATTCTCATCCGCGGAGAAAGAGAGAAACGCGATATTAATTACAAATAGCATTAATAACTCTCTTTCTCGCTCTCAAGTGCGATATGAAAAATCACCACCGTAGGCGCATAATCCAAAATTGATTGCGCGCGCGAGCTCGCTCATCAAGTCGACGATAAATCGCTCTCTTGGATCCTTGACTGCGGTAAACAGCAGCCGTTGCTTGCGTACATACAACATAACGCACGAAGCACAGACACAACAACAAACGAGCGCCGCGCAGAATTAGCTAATATTTCAATTTAGGGAATACGTCTGTTTTGCGCTCGAGCGCGAGAGAGAGAGAAGATACGACAGATATGATCCGAGTGCAGCTCTCAACGGTGCAGCTCTCGACGAGATTGTGAGCGCTGCACTGCAGAATCGCATATCGAATCGCATCCAATGAACGTTTCAATTTTAATTGAAATCGGTGGGTGGGTATGTACGAATTTGTTTCGTATATATTATTATAGTCGTCGGTAAACAGACGCAGCCGAAATTCTTATCGAGGCAACAATGACGCGCATCGTGTTTGTTCGTCATCGCCGTACGCTGTCGTATATACGAAGTCGTGCACGCCAAAAAACGCGTATATAATACGCGACAGATATAACGCATATTGGGATGGTCACGCAGATAGATACGTTATACTACTACGTTGATCACTCGAGTCAGGCGAAAAAAATTCATCCTTCGTACTACGAGATAGCGACGAGGCCTCGTGCGGTCACGCACTTTTTTAATCCTCCTCAAGTTTTATTTCCTATGTGTATTCGTGTAAAGAGTGACAAAGGTCCGACGAGCGAGTCGGCTAATCAAGTTCCTCTTTTTTCATACGTATATTCGATACGCGCGTATTTGCACTTCGCTTCAAAGACACGTTTGAAGTTTTTCAATAATTGATTCGATGATTAAAAAGTATAATAATTGCATATTTTTGTGAAAAATCAATTGACGCAATTCAAGCATCCACGACTGAAATTTTATCGAGGCAGGACACCGCGTAACAAGTTATGGCTTTACAACCGAATAGATTTTACAATCAATGAAATTATTTTTTCTTTATCTTTTCCATCAATTTCCATACCACTGAACTGAATAGCAAATTACATCGTTACGAGCAAATCAATCAATTTTACGCTTTGATGTTTCCGTAAAGATAAAATCTTAGACTCGCTTGGCCATTCATTCTTCTTCTGCCCGATAAACATGAAAGTCTTTTGCAAATGCAGATTTTCCACAAATTGAATATAACCCGCTAATCCATTTTCATTGCCATATTTAAAACAAAATGCTGGCAAAATGTAATAACTTTATACGTGTAAGCTGCTTTTTATGGCGGACCAGATCGAATGAACAAAATCGGTTGATTAAATTGAATTCTGAAAGTGCAGTTTATCGATCCAAAATATAAAATGTGATTGAATCGAACCCTTGATGATATTTTGCAAATGCAAAGCAGCACCCGAGAGAAAATTTACCATAGGAGTTAACAAAAGTTCGTGTTGAAATAAGCCCCGGCTACTTTAGACTGTACTTTTTTGAAAATCGATTGGTGCAATACATATGTTGATGGGAAAGCTTTTAGCACGTAAATCTAGAACTTTCGAATTGCAGTTTGTGTAAAAATGCAGTGAATGTTTTAATTTATATATTTGCTAAAAATATATTTGCTAAAAACGTCTTCCTTTAAATCTCACATGAAATAAACCAATAAATAATATATGTAATAATCTTTTACATCATCGATGATAAAGTGAAATCCTTATATATTTCTAAAAAAGTTTGATGAGCTTTTGTTCTCATAGTTCTAAGTGAGTATTAATCAATTATCGATTTAGTTATGTAAAAAATATAAATATTCATGAACACAAATGTCAACTACAAATAATAAATTACTCAATAATTTGTTCTTTTCAATCATTTTGTCCCGTGGAATATGGGACGGACCACTCACTATGGTCTACATTTTTTCCTTGTTACTTTTTCATTTTATCTACTGCTCAAAGTCAAACAGTTGCTGTAAATTGACCATTTCATGACTCGCAATCTCAGAAGATTGGTTACATTCATAGAGTTGTATTAACTTTAATCTTAGCGTCATTGTGAATAAAAATTGATTTTAGTTCAATTCCATATTGATATAAAAAGGAATACTTAATTATCATCTCTAAATAAGTTGATCATTGTAAGTTGACAAGTTGATAGATAAAATACAATTTCGAAACAGTTCGCTCAATAAAAGCTCACAACTTTCTTCATTTAGTATACTGTGAGTAAAAAAGCTACGAGTAAAAAAAAAGCTGGCCCGATGAACAAAGTTTGTTGCTACTTTTTATTATAATGGCTACCAAAATCTTCGTACCGTTTAGGCCAAAACTAGAACAAGGGATGCTAATTACTAAATTAATTATTAAAAGATTCTCATTGATGTAAATAATGAGCGTAAACACGAAAAACTTGGTCAAACGAAAAAAGATGGTGAAAAAAATAAAAGTAAACTATGATTTTTAAGAGAAATTATAAAATAGCCAAGAAGAACAAGAAGAGCTTTAATAACATTGCAGAGCCAACTTCAAAAAGAGATTGTGCAAATTTTTCTGAAGGTTCCTCCAATGATAGAGATTCAAAATAACTAAGCATCAGCTGATAGAAATTTTTATACAGTATAGTCCATTAGTCATTACCAAAATCACACGACCGAAAAGTGATGATGAAAAAACTAGACAAAGAAATGGTGGCTTAGTAGTTCCATGTGCAGTAAAGATGATAATTACTAATTTCGTCAGGATTATCTCAATGCTCAAGTACACAGACGAGACATAAATAAATTACCTTTATTTACAATTTTACGAATTCTAGATCTACTCAATTAATTCCATCATTCAAAATGAAATTTATTTAATAGAATTAAATCACAATGAGACCTATATCGCAGAACGTTGTACTTCTCATTGAAAGATAAATGAATGGAACAACAATCATAAAAGGTTGCCAGAAACAACATGAATCTCACAAATTAGCTTATAAATAGGTGAATTCCATACTTGAATTGTTTAAAAATCAAGAAAAAATGATAAGTATAAGAATGCAATTAAAAAAAGATATCATAAGTTTAATTATATTAAAAGAAAATATAACAGTGTTAAAATAAAATTCGATTAATTATTATTAATAATTTTTATTGATGATAAAATAAGATGTAATGAAAATTTTGATGCTAAAAAATGAAGATAAAATAACAATTATATCTAGAAATTTATGTAATTTTTTTTAACATAATGACAATTTCAGATAACATGATCATCTCATTTTAATTTTTTTGTTTCTCTAAGTGCCGTTATTGTAGTCAATCAATTTAGCAATAATACTGCAAAATTAAATTATAGATGAAGCACAGCATCAAGTGAAGACTAGCAAACACGAAAAAACGATATCTTGACAGTCACCCACTCTATTGTTAAAGTGCATCAATCATGACATTACAATTATGCACATAATAGAAACATTTGGAACTGTTGATAACAACGTAATTATTTTTTTGAATTATCTATCCACAGGATTTGTTTACTTGTCTACACCAGATAACCTGATGTTGATTTAATCCACATTCCTAAAAAAAAAGAAAACACAATTAGAATATTTTTAATTAAAAACACGATACAATTAGTTTCTTCTATAACTGTACTTGATGATTGCTTTCACATCAAATCCGCGACACGACAAACTCAAAAAAATCTTCATTGCTCGTAATAATGTAAGAAAAGGATATAAAAATACGAAAGAATTAAATTGTATTCTTAAAATAAAATATGTGAATTATGGATATAAACTATCGAGAGAACTGGAATAGCTTTCGTAGTCACACTCAGGGTCAATAAAGAATTCAGGATCTACGTACACAACGCGGAGAGTATTCGTGAAGCCGGAGCCCTGCTTCCAGCCGGTAACAACAACAACGGAGTCGCCAGATCGGATGAATCCACGGCCTTTACCAAAATTGAGACCATACTGAACACGGGCGTCAACGTCCTTCAGCCAGTCGGGTAAAGCAGATTCTAGAAATAGAAGTTGAGAAAAAATTATTCAATGTAAAATATATATGCCATTCTAGTTAATCGAGAAATTGATATCTAATGAGTTCAGACTATCAATATTTTATGATCAAAACTTACCGGAGTAATGAAGAGGCAGAATGCCTCTGTAAAGATGTGCTTGTCTAGCCACTTGGTGGAATCTGGTTACAGCGATGATGGGGCAGCGAGGTCTGTATTTCGAGATCAAATGTGCCGAACGACCAGAGGTGGTAATAACAATGATTGCACTGGCAAGGCATTTGGCAGATGCCTCAACGGACGCAATAGCTACGGCGTGAGTAGCATCAATTGGTGGCACAGCCTTGCTCGACAAGTCGGAGAACAGTTGATTTTGCCAGATGGCTGCTTCGGCTTCCTTGCAGATGTTGGCCATGGTGCGCACGCAATCCAAAGGATACTCGCCCTTGGCGGTCTCACCTGAACGAGAGAATCATTTGTACTGATTTGTGTTGAACGAAAAGAAAGGAGTATATAGTTAAAAATGTGAAGATGTTTACCAGACAACATGACGCAGTCGGCACCATCGAGAATGGCATTGGCTACATCGGAGGATTCAGCTCTGGTAGCTCTGGGTTTCTTCACCATCGACTCCAACATTTGAGTGGCGCAAATGACTGGTTTGCCAACTTTGTTGCATCGGCTGATCATGCACTTTTGTGCGAGGAACACCTTCTCGGGTGGGATCTCAATACCCAAATCGCCACGGGCAACCATGATACCGTCGGAGGCCTCGATGATCTCATCGAGATTGGTCATACCCTGTTGATTCTCGATCTTCGAGATGATTTTGATGTTTTTGCCTTTGTCGCCGAGGATTCCACGGATTTCGGCGAGCGCAGCAGCGTTACGGATGAACGAGGCGAAGATCATGTCGACCTCTTGGTCAACACCGAACTGCAAGTCGGACTTGTCCTTCTCGGAGACGGCGGGCAAGTCGACCGGTACACCGGGTAAGTTGACACCTTTGCGCGATCCAAGGCTGCCACCATTCTCAACCGTCGTAGTAATGAGGTTTGGAGCTAAAATCAATGAGCGCCATTAATTATTGAAAATCCCAATAGATTTAAAAAATTTTTGTGTAAAAATTAAAAATGTTCGACTTACAAACAGCGGTGACGATCAACGACATGAGACCATCGTCGACGTAGATACGATTGCCGACTTTCAAGACTTTCGAGATGTTATCGTAATCGACGTAAACGGTGTCGGCATTGCCCTTCTCGGCGTAGGCCTTGTCGGTCGACAGCTTGAAAGTTTGTCCCTTCTTCAGCTCAACTTCGGCGGAACCACCCTACGGTAATAACAAAAATTGATTATTGAAACGATATTCAAAACAAAGGCAAAAGCAACGAGGATTATTTATCATGCGGACTTACACCCTCGAGGAGACCAGTTCTGATTTCAGGGCCCTTGGTGTCGAGGGCGATAGCGACGGGCACGGAGAATCCGTGGCGCTCTGTGAGATTCTTCTGAGCTTGGCGGACGTTGGCGATGGTCTCGGCGTGGTACTCGTGAGAGCCGTGGCTGAAGTTCATTCTGGCGATGTTCATGCCGGTCTCGATCATCTTCTCGAGCATCTCGACGCTGCGCGAGACGGGCCCGATGGTGCAGATGATGCCGGACAGACGGGTGAACATCGTGTGCGAGTCGATGTCCAAGGCGCACATGTGGTCGAGGTGGCTCTGGGCGTTGAGTGCCGTAAAGTTGGGCTTTCCAGCCATCTGTCGAAATCAATACCGAGCGGTTAAGTCATTGTCGCGCGTGTATTTTCATTTTTCATTCGGTAATGTCACATTGGCCATTAATAATTGTAAAATTTTAGGAGAAGAAAAGTTACTCGATTACTTTTTGGTCAGATTCGAAAGTAAATTGACGTTCTTTTTTTTTTTACTACGCGTCAAGCGACGAAGTCAATTTACTTTTCGAGCGGATTTTCACTAAATTACATTAGACACAGAAAAATAATAATGCTAAACTTGGATTATCATACTAACGGTAATCACGTCACTTGAGCTTATTTGGCGAACTGAACGTTTTCCTATGTGCAACGGTATCGAATGATTTACCAGTGAAAACAAAGTAAACAATTTTTTCATCTGTCCAACCCACAGAAAACGTTCGTTCGCAAACTATCAAAGATACACCTTTAGCAACAATTAGATGTTACAATGCTTTTAACCCAACTCCTTTTCGATTCAAACCGTGCTAATTTATCTACGTGCATGCACTACGAAGATATAAGCTATACTGTTAACATACAATGATAAAGAATCACAATCTACTTTTTGTTGGGTGATTAAATACACTTGAACAAATGAAATAATTACATGTTTGATTACAAACGCTAAAAGTTTGTTTGCAAAGTGTCTCATGCATATTAGACGGTAATGATCACGTTTGCGGTTAGTGTTAACAATTTTTTATGGAAAATACAGAAATGGAAATTTTTTTTTAATGATCCGGATGCTGATAAAAGTAACTTATTTTTATTTTATTGTAGCAATTAAATTTTAAACAACCGTCCGCACGTAAAATTTGATTTCGGTTTGAACGAAAAACCCGCGTATTTTGACCCGATTTACGCATCTGCAGCGTGCAGTCCTGCGCACTCGCGTTAGTCACGAAAATAGTCCGGGTCTAGAGTTATGCAGAGCAAGCACTGCACAATTTACTGAGATTACACACTCTTGTTCTGCAGTATTCCCCAATTTTTTTCTAGAGCGAGCCGCCGTATAACCAACCGCACGTACTTTCGTGAAATTATACCCGTCATCCGCGAAGAGAAGAGCAAAGAGTGTTGGGAAAAATTCTTAGCACCGGGTAATTACACTTTGACTCATGTATACCTTCAATTACGACGTTCGACCGTAATCCAGACTCTTTGAGCGTGGGTTTCATCGAAATAAAAATAAATTACTTTGCTTGATCCATCAAAATTTAAAAAAAAATCAGTTGCACAGTGTCTGATTGATTAATTGAATCGTCGACAGTTATAAAAGCTCGACAAAACTGATCTTCGGTTGAAGCATGTTTGTTAATGTTTACAAATTTATAGTCAAGTCAGATAAAACTCCTCTTCAGGTGAAGATATATATAATAAATAAAAACTGACGTAGTTTGACCTACGAAATTGCTAAGTCCACGCCAAACTTTAATGACAAATGAAGCTAATTCGTCGTACTTCTTATCACTCTGCTGTAAAAAAAGTTTTCGTTGAAGAAAATACCTTATAATGTAATTATTTTTTTTTTCGGGGGGAAAATCTTGGTCCATTGCATTAAGTTGACAACAAGCAAACTACATATCTAGTGACAAATAATGTATATTGAAGGTATTAAAGATGGTACTACATCTATTGCACATTTATGTTTACAGAGAGATGTGTATAAATCACAGTGGAGTTGAATAGAGCAAGCAATTACGTAATGAAATACAATGACGAAAAATATTTTGGAACTTGCAATTGATGCACAAGCCCATTCAAAAATCAAAAAAATATTAGTGGTAATAAACTAAAATATAAATACGTGTCAAGGTATATATTTTAGTGCGTACAAGTATAGCAAAAATAAACGGTCGGGTTGCGTTTGTTTATCGCTAGAGTAGGCAAAAAAAGGTTATAAAAATCTTTTTTTTTTAATGAAAAATAAAAGAATTATATCTTGAACAACCACAGAGAAACAATATGCAGAAAAATATATAAAAATAAACAACGTGTCAACAAACTGTCACTGGTTGGGATATTGTACCTGATCGTCGACGGTTATCCAGACCATACTGGCAGGCTGCGTGAATAAAGGGCAAAGAGAAGTACGTATTATTAATAAAGACTGTTTTCTTATGTTTAACAAAGATGATGACTTTGTAGAACAATTAATGCGTCTGTAAAGGCTGCCACAAGCTAGCCCGATGGTCGGACGCATTCGGTCACCTCTCGTCGCTTATACCTATGTATACATGTGCTACGGGCGCCTGCACAAGGGACTAGTGGAAAATACTGCAATACGCCGCCACCAGCTCTGGCTAGAAACTACATCTTGGACAAATGCCAAAATTGGACGGCAACTTTTGTTTTTTTTCTCTCTCTCTTTCTAATGCAGCGCACCGGCAAGGGTGATTTCTTTTTTAGTATTAAAGTGAGGAATGTTAGTTAGAATTATTAACGTTTACAGATAGTAAACATAACAATGCTAATAGATACGAGTTTTTGTATTTTCTTATCTAGTTTAAAAAACTTGACATGAATAAATATTTTTTTCAAATTTAAAAAATTAAAGTAAAGCATTTTTGAAAAACAATATATTGATTTAGATGTGCTTTATAATCGTAAAAATATTTAACTGAAAATATTTTATAGCACTGACTTCATCAACGAATTTGAATTTATCAACAAATTCTAATTATTATAATCCACTAGTCCCTAACTGTTAATCTACTTTAAAGATCTAATATAATTTTAATTGGAATTTTTTTAATTGAATAATAACAATAATTTTCACTACTGACTTCAACTTTGATATAAAGGAAAAAAACTGGTGAATCTTGCGGAGCAAAGAAAAGATGTTTCTCTGGTTCGAGTACTTTAGGCTTACTGTTGCAGATTTTTCGTTCGTACTACAGTGTCGGCTCCTCTTACGCACAAAAACCTCGTGCCGGACGACCGGTACAATGTATAATGCCCGTATATATGTGCGTCAATGTGTGAGTTCGCGTGTACAAGGCACGTACATAAAAAGTACGGAGAGGAAAAAAAAAAGAATAAGCCGTATAATTCTAACCGGTAAGATCGGCAGAAACTCATCTTACTTTTTTTGCTTGCGCACAATTTCGTTTTGTTTCGATTGCCTTGGGTTTTTGTATTCAATTTCACTGCCCGAGATTATTCTCGGACAAAGAAAAAACCCATGAAATTGTTTTACGTACGAATAAATGTACTTTAAGCGACAAATGAGGGAAACGAGAAGTTTTGCAAATTAAGATTAATTGTTAGTACGTGATTGTTTGCTTGCATGGAAATGGCAATCAATTGTGAAGCTGATTTTATGCAAAATTAACGTCTTCATTGACATATTTACATTAATAACTGCTGCTAGTACAACAAGTACTCATTTGTCAATGTTTTTTTCCGAACGAGCTGATAATTTATTCACATGACACGCGTTCTATATTTCATTAAAACTATAATCTCAACTTGAGATAAGGTAAATATCGTCGAGCCAATTTTAAAGAACATAATTAATTAAATTTCCAAAGTTGATCGATCAATATTAACGAAACACGCGTAAGCGAGGTGTAACAACCGCGCCACTCAATTATCACTGCAGACGCCAATGAGACAAATATTAATCGCGAGATAAGGCATTGTAATGTGCTCGTGCAGCGCCGGCTAATGCAGCTGCAGAGCCTTGAGATAATATTGTATATAGGTGTTATACGTGTCGCGAGAGCCTGTTCGAGTTTATACAGAAGGCAAAACGCTCGTACATGCACATCTGCCTGTATATATATAAAGTATGCCTGTGTGCGTGTGTACAAGGTCAGGCTTTAAAGCGAGCGCATCAGCTGACTCGTGTGCGTCTGCGAGGCGAGCGCCCACGTGGGACCCTACGAAAAACGTGTACTGTTCACGTGTTCATCGATATATGTGTGTATGCGGCTATATACACGGGCGCGCACAAACACGCATCGACACACAGACGTAACTGTCCCTACTCCCTAAGCGTTAGCATCGTCGTTCTATCCTCGTTTTTCGAGTCGATAAGTCTGTAAAATATATCGTGTGGCTGTATAACGTAACGGAGTCTATCCGGCCTTATGCCTCATATAAATCTCGGAGCGAAGCGTAAAATACGATTCGGAATTGCTCAGCTCTCTCCTAATAGCAATTTCAAAAAATTTCTAAAAATTTCTCATGGAAAAATACTAGCGAGAGAAACAGAGAGAAATCAGGCGCTTATTGATCGCGCGCGTCTCTCTCGTCATGGGAATCAGTGATAAAAAAACCCATGATTGTGTTGGCTGTACAGTGTACACACGTGAGCGTCGTGCTATTTTACAGTTGTCGAACGTATTTATCGCAAGTTCGACACTCGCGCGATTTAAATGTCGCGTGAGTCGAACAATTCTTCGCGGAAAACTCCTAACCTCAGCGATGCTATTTAGCGCGACGTAGAGTAGCAGACAGAGGCAAGAGAAAAAAACTTGATCCGATTATGAATACGTAATAAGAACACTTTTACACGCTGAGAGAGAGAGAGAGAGAGAGACGGAGGGGTGGCCTAACGTTGTCCGAGCAATGACGATGCGATCGATTTTTTCCGTTCAACGACACTATATATGCTGGCAATTTAAAGAACCGTCGTATACATATACGCGCGATACATTTTTGCACAATGGCTGACACGCGCTGCACAGGCACTTTTCTATTATCACTCGGAAAAATTATGCTTTTCTCTTACGTTAATCGTGTCCGGTATGCACTTGAAACGACGCCGACGCAGATGTTCTTTCACGATGCTGGCGTGCGATTTTTGCGAGCGACGCGTACGTACAGCGAGTTGGCTGTTTTCGGAACGGCCACGACTGCACCACGGCAACGACGACGACGACGACGACTGCGATGCATAATCGCGGGAGAAAAAACGCGCCGAAAATGCATCGCCCGAGCGCGTAATCGACGTCGATAACAGCCTTTTTATTCCCGTTCGATTGACGAGATCGATCACTCGAGTCATTGCTAGTTCAAGGCCGCAAAGGCCGAGACGCAAAAACACTGGCGAATTTCCACGTGTAATTAATTAAGTTTTTCCCGCGGAGTATTTGTCAACGAAACGACAATAACAAATAGCGGCTGTCTCTCGTGTATTATGAGTGTGTAAATAAACATAAAGTTTGTTTACCTTGATTGGTAGATTCTTTGAGGTAAAAGATCGACGAACGAGAGAGCGAGGCGAAGAATCGACTGAACTTTCGGGGATGTAAAGTAGTGCGAACGGATCTGCGGCCTGCTGCTAACTGACGTTTGAGGACGCGGAAGGTCACGCAGACGTCGTCGTTATACTCGAGACTCGCTCGTACTGCCCCGCCTGCTGTACGTGTAATAGTTCGAGATTCACATGCACATATACAGAGCCGCTTGGTCGTGTGTGTACGACCACTTCTGAGTGTGTGTGCGTGTATGTGAGCTCTGGCCGCGCGCGCGACTATATTTATATATAGCGCCGCTTCGTTTGAAGCGATATAGTTGGTCGGTGCACGCTCACGTGAGACGAGTTTGCGCATTTATTTTCATGTAATATTTTGTCTGCTGCAGCTTTGATTCTGTATAAAAAATATAGTTGCAGTTTTCGAAGAAAAGTTCGTCGGATAAACAGCTATTAATACAATCCCCCAAGGTCATAAACTAGTAAAAAATTGCCATTAATGTAAATTTTCACGTACCATACCTTATTATAGACCAATTAAAATGTCCAATGATCTTTGGAAAAATTTCTTTGGCACTCCAAGTGCCGAGTTCATTGATAATGGCCTGATTCATTTTATCTATCCATTTAAATATCGTAACGAGCTTTATCTGCAGACTACGCGGCGCGTTCGATGCGTACGCGGAAGACGTCAATATGATTATACTCGATCTATATCGTTGAGCAAGTGCCAACCTTGCTTATTATACTGTTGCTAAAACATAATACGATTATACGATATGAATTAAAAAGTGCAACGCTGTGTCTGCGTAATACAATGTCAAGTTCGGACATAAGCAATTTTAAATTGTTCCCTCTGATAAGAATCGCGTATCTAAATACGCTCAGAGTGGAAAAAAAATTAATCGCTGTCAATCACGGTCAAGTTTTGCATCAATGCACTTCTGAAAATATGATCTTTCAAAAAAAATATTTCCATTATTTCTTGACACGATTTTTCTACCATGCCTTTAAAGATAAAAACATAGTTATCCGGCTTCCATTATTTTCCGAACAATGATGGATTTGAGTTCTTTAATTTCAAAAGGAAATTGACACCAACTTTCATGAATGAAAAATGAAGCCTGCAAATCTAAAAATTCGCCCCCGAAAAACGACTTGTCAATGGAGTCACGAGCGTCAGAATTTGGCGGTGCATAGGGCCACTCCACCGCGCGGCTTTTTGCAAATAGAAATTGCAGTTGGACACTCAAGCGGCGTTCCCACGAGTTTTGCTTTCTCTCTCTTTCTCTTTCTCTCCGGTGTATGTTCTGCAAAGTGTAAGTTTTGATTCTATTATGTATTAATTATTGTAACATTTTTACTAAGAAAATAGGTCCTTTTGTTAGTTCGATATTGATATGATAAAATTATAAAAATTCAAAGATTTAGTAGACTTGATGAAGTCGAAGTTTCGGTATAGTTTTCATTATCTTTTATAAGTACATATTCAGTAAGTACATAATTTCGATAAAAAAAACTCAAGAGTTAAAAAAAAATAATAATCGTGTATTGAATAATCAATCTTCATCGCATTCTGTCTCATGCACTTTGGCACAAATTATTTTAAGAATGCATTTCATTACATCTTCTGCCCTTTAAAGGTTATGCACTTCTACCCGGAAACATGCGGGTCGGATTATGTTCAATTCAATCCGCGTAAATGAAAATCGTTTTCAAAATTGACTAACACTTTTTATTTTTAAAGTTTCAAGCTTATTTCATTATTTTAAGAATGTGTAAAACTTCGAATAGATTTTATAATCCTTTAAATTTTTTTAAAACTTAAAAATTGAAAAAAAAAATGTTTAAATCAATTATCAACGTGCAAAAATACACTCCTGAAACGTTTTGTCAATTTTATAGGATACACCTAATTCCAAAGGCAACATGTCCGGAGGTTTTGAGGCTACAGTCCTCAAGGAGGAGGATGTCACCAAAATGTTGGTGGCTGGCGTGCAACTTGGATCGGAAAACTTAAATTTCCAGTTCGAAAAATACATCTACAAAAGACGCAACGATGGTATCTATATTATCAATCTTCTCAAGACTTGGGAAAAACTTATGATGGCTGCTCGTGCTATTTGTGCCATTGAGCACCCTAGTGAAGTTTTTGTTATAAGTGGCCGTACGTACGGACAACGAGCTGTGCTCAAGTTTGCAGCTCATACTGGTGCAACGCCGATTGCTGGAAGATTTACGCCTGGTGCATTTACCAACCAGATTCAAGTAGGCAAAATTTCAAATTATTTTTATGAAAGAATACCGAAGTGAAAGTAAACATAATACAAATTCTTTTTTTTTTATTTCTGTAAAATCATTTTTTTCTCAAAAATTACTTGAGCTGGTAAATTTATTTTTTAGACATCCGCAAAGCTTTTGAGCAAAATATTTTTGTATTGCCCCAACACGAAATGTCATTTTATTCCCGCCAAGTGAAGTCACGATATTACTTTATGTTAGGGGATTCACAAAAAACTATAATTACACCTATGTAGCGTAAAACGAAAGTCTCAGAATTGTGATTACAAAATAATTGCATGTTAGTACTCTGAAACTTTTCAGTTTTTCTCTTCGTAATGAAAAAAATACTAGGTATCAGCATAAATTTTGTTAAAAGGTTTGAATATTTAGGTTTTTAGCATGGCTATACTGCTTCCTCTCAAAATTCCGTACCGCCCATAAAACAGTAGTTTGATTTGATAAAATCGTAATATTATACATTATAATTATATTTTTCTAGGCTGCATTCCGTGAGCCACGGTTGCTGATTGTAACCGATCCCTACACTGATCATCAACCCATTATGGAAGCATCATATGTTAATATTCCAGTCATTGCTCTAGCAAACACCGACTCTCCCTTGCGTTTCGTAGATATTGCGATTCCTTGCAATAACAAGGGTCAACATAGTATTGGTCTGATGTGGTGGTTACTGGCAAGAGAAGTTCTCAGAATAAGAGGATCCATTTCTCGCGAAAATAAATGGGATGTAGTCGTGGATCTTTTCTTCTACAGAGATCCAGAAGAGGTGAGAAAAACTCAATTTACAGTATGATAATAATTGATAAATAAATAAAAAATAACAGAATAATAGACAAGGGATATCTAATTAATTAAATTTATCAACTTTTTTAATTTTCCAGGCTGAAAAAGAAGAGCAAGCTGCCAAGGAGCTTGCCCCGGCTGTTAAAGAGTACATCCCCACGGAAAATGTTGCGGAAACTAATTGGTCCATTGACAATGTAGATCCTAATGCACCTCAAACTGAAAACTGGGCTGATGACATACCAGTTGCAGCTCCGGTTGCTGATGCAGTTGCCACTCCTGTTGCCTCGTTCCAACCAAGTACTGAATGGGTCTCAGTAAGTTGAATATTTAAATATTCATTCAATTTACCAATTGAAAACAATGATGTATTTATAACATAAATTTTAATGAAAAATACTTGAATGTCATAATATTTTCAGGGTCAAGATGATTGGAGTATACCTACTGCTACGCCATCAACAACTATCCCAGCACCTACCTGGGGAGGTGGTAACCAACCCAACTGGTCATAAAAATAAGTTTCAATTTTGAACTTTATTTGATCAAATCGACTTAACTTTATTATTCTATTGTAATAAAGTTAAATTTTCAACTATAAAACATTTTTCTTTTTTTTCAATTGAACACTTCCACATATTTTTCATGTAAGGAATTATTAAACTGTTATGTCATTTGAAGAAATTCAATCAATATTCATAAAATATTCTAATGTTTTGTCTTGAAATAGTAATCATTGCCTGAAATATAAATTCAATTTTGCTTTGGTTAAATTTAATAATTTGAGTTCGGAATCATTTTCAAAGAACAAGAAAGGACATTATTAAAGATAAAATGGTATGCTACACATATTAGCTACTCTATCCAATAATAAGTAACATTGTGAATAAATTTTTTAAAATAATTTTATTTCAGAAATATTGTCAAAAATTATTTTTAACAGTTTATATTTACATATTTACAAGAAGTTAAATTAATATTTGTTGCTTACTTTTTGAACAAAGAGCTAAAGAGTTCATCTTTCCCATTATCTGTCCACATGTTATCTGGAATCGGTGCCATCCAGTTAACAAGTTTTTGATGTACATTATAGCGAAGCCTTCGTCCTTTTGTGGCCTTTGTGTCAATTTTCCTTTTCATTTTACTGCGCATTTTATCAAGCTCAATCCACTTTTGAGTCAACTGGTTTGGATCAGTTGTGTCAGACAATTTGCTATTAATGAAATCGCGCAACAGGGAATGATAAAAATCATAATCATCAAAAATTTCAGCATCATATTCTTCAGTTCTACGTCCATCATTGTCTTCAACTGTGGGTGATGATTTCCCAATAATTTCATAATCAGAACGTTTCAATTGAGTTTTTTTCACTAATTTATCTCTATTGGAAAAAGCAAAATCTATTTTCTCTACCACAGATAGTTTACGATCTTTGCTAATAACACCGGTTGCAACCCTAGTTTTATCATTCAATTTTTGAATAATCGGCTCTCTGTACTCTTTTAGCAGCTTATGATTTTTAGCCAACACTTTTTCATAATCTGAAAGTTTCATTTTCTTTTTGGGTGGTTGTTTATCTGTTTTCTTTTCAGACTTTTCTTCAGAAATTTCTTCTTCACTATGATCTTCACTTTCTATTTCTTCTCCTTCAAAATCTGAAGGGATCTCTTCATCATCTTCATCATTATTATCTTCATCATTTGCTTTTCTTTTTCCAGATAATAGATTTTTTGTTTCTGGGAAATTGTTCAGCAATTCGGTTTGTAATGATAATAAATTATTCAATACTGCACGAAGTTTGCTTTTAGTTTCTTCACTCTTCTTTTTAAATTCTTCGTTACTAGCAAAGGTAGGATAAACATCATGTTGTGGCATTTTATTACTTGTATTTAAAACCTTTTGTGCGAGAATTCGCATTTGTAAAATGTTTTCCCAAATATTTAATTGCTCTTTAATGCAGTTGCCTTTATATATTTCCTCACGTAAATCACTAGGTTTTACTAAAACAATATCTTTCTTTCTTTCTCTAAGCAGTGGATTTGAATAATCACGACTTTCATCTAATTCATCATCATCCTCATTTTCATCACTATTTTCATCGCTATTTTCATCATACGAGCCTTCTGCAAATTCTTTATTGCCTGATGAATCATTATCATCATCAGATTCTTGTTGTATATTTTCACTAGAACTGTCACTTTGATCGTCATCGTCACCACCATCATTTTCATTATCTTCATCACCGCTGACAATACTTCCATCACCTTCATCATTGCTAAGATCAATACTCCCATCATCATCGTTATCATCATCTTTACCAGAACTTTCATCAGAACTTTGTTGGAAAATTTGTTTGCTAGATACTTTTTTTCCTCTATATCTGTTGCAAAAAAAAAAAATTATAAATAGTAAAATTGTAGAAAAAACAAAGTGTTTTAAGTAAGAGACAATTTACCTGCGATCGATGTCACCAAGAAGATCAGCATTTCGTTTTCGAAGCTTAGAAGAACTGGGTCCAGTTTTATAATCATCTGGCAATTCTAATTCTTCATCGAAATCAGCAACCTTAGCTTTGGTTTCTTCGGCTTCATCATCTGAAAAGGTGAGATTAGGAGTCGGATCCCATAAATTCTTCAGCATTGAACCAACGTTTTTCTTGGGCTTAGACATGATTGATACACAATTTTTTCACGCGTAAACAATAAATATATAGCGATTAGTATAGCGATTAGTATAACCTTGCTTCCGTGATGTTACGGCTTGAGCACATGTGCGTATTCGGCGGCGGAGCGCTCGTTCGTCTGCACTCTGCAGTCGGATTGTCGCCGGGCGCGTGCGCCAGTCAACGGTCAGTATACACAATATGACAGTCATGATATCTACTTGCTGTAAAGTGGCTCCGTGTGTGGCTGTAAATATAACAGAAGGAGATATTTAAATTGACTTTTTAAATTATGTATTTTTTAGGACATTAAGTTTCAAATATAGTTACAATATCAACAGTAGCGTGCGATGGAGAATTTTCGAATAAATATTAAAATTGTTTATTACAGATTTGTATAAGGATCTATATACTCTATGTTCTATATGTGAATTCGATGTTGTCTGTCGAAAGTTATTTTGAAAGTACTTAGTTTTATAAGGTAACAGATAAATAGGAAATTAATTGTAAACAATATAATTGTGAACGATTTTGACATAGTCTTTAATACACTGATCATGTTTAGAGTGAAAATATATTAGTTTGAATGTCGTATTTCTCGATGAAATAAGCAATAATACCAAAATATAAATTTTGCTTATTCAATTTCTGTGCTACTTAATAGAAAGATCCATCATTTATTTTAGGGACCGAAATGGATAAAAGTGAGAAGAAATCCGAGGAAGTTGTCTCAGACGACAAAAATCACATTTTTGACATTTGTCAAGACGCATTTGCACTAGAATCAAGTATGATAACAAACCAAAACACAATTCATGATAAGCAAAAAGACTACGCACGTGATAAGTGTGAAAAGAAATTTGAGTTCAGAAGTAATTTGAGTAGACACCAAATATCGGTACACAAAAGTCGTAAAGATTTCGCATGTGACGAGTGCGAAAAGAAATTTGTGAAAAAATCGAGTTTGTTTACGCACCAAAAATTAGTACATAAAGATCGAAAAGATTTCATGTGCAACAAGTGCGAGAGGAAATTCGAAAACAAATCGACTTTACTTAACCCATTAGAGCGCAAAAGTGCAATTTTGTGCATGAATTTTCCGTTGTAAAAAAATTATGGATAAAGTTAAAATATTTTCTTGAAAATCCATACCCGGGGGTTTTTGGGTATGCTCTTTCAGTATCCGGTGTTATTTTTGCGATAAATAAACATTATCATCGTTTATTTTGCCATTAAAAACAAAAAACATGATTTTTTGACTCAAAATTTTTTTTCAAAGTCGATTTTCTACCTTGCCTTGCCTTCGGAGGGTTCCCATAACACCAGAAATCGTGCACTTTTTCTCTGAACCTTCAAAAAATGCGCTGCCGCGATTTTTATCTTGCCCCTATATTTCTAAAATGGCGAATTTATACCGAGCAGCGATATGAAAATTGCCTTATTTTTTATTTGTAAATTATTGACTTTATAAAAGAAAGTCATACAATGAAAAGTGTTCAAATTTGTTCAAAGAATACATGTGAATTTTTTTTAGAATTTTTTAATAATTTTTTCAGAATTTTTCAGATTTTTTTTGGAACATTCTGGATTTTTTCGACAGGCCGGGAAATGGTCGTATTTTGCAAAATTTTCAAAGTGGTCTGAAAAATTCTGAAAAAATTCACACGTATTCTCTAAACGATTTCAAATAAGTTTTTACACTCCAAATTTTACTTTTGAGTTCATATTTAGCGCATGTAAAATAGGTTCTGAGTAAAAAATGAGTGAATTTTTATACCGCTGCTCGGTATAAATTCGCCATTTTAGAAATATAGGGGCAAGATAAAAATCGCGGCAGCGCATTTTTTGAAGGTTCAGAGAAAAAGTGCACGATTTCTGGTGTTATGGGAACCCTCCAAAGGCAAGGCAAGGTAGAAAATCGACTTTGAAAAAAAATTTTGAGTAAAAAAATCAAGTTTTTGGTTTTTAATGGCGAAATAAACGATGATAATGTTTATTTATCGCAAAAATAACACCGGATACTGAAAGAGCATACCTAAAACCCCTGGGTAGGGATTTTCAAGAAAATATTTTAACTTTATCTATAATTTTTTTACAACGGAAAATTCATGCACAAAATTGCACTTTTGCGCGTTAATGGGTTAAGCACAACAAAATATTTCACGAAATTTTTAAAGATTACTTCTGTGAAAAATGTGCAAAGAGATTCGGAAATAAACATAGTTTGCTCATGCACATAAAGACAGTCCACGAGGTTCCGAAAAATTTTGCATGCAAAAAGTGCGAGAAAAAATTCGTACAAAAATCTTATTTGCGCATCCATCTAAAGACAGTACACAAAGGTCGCAAAGATTATGCATGCGACAAATGCGAGAAAAAGTTTGTGGTTTTAAGCAATTTAACAAAACACCAAAAGACAGTCCATGAGGGTCGTAAAGATTGGGCAAGTTAGTGATCGCAACCGAATCGCCGCGACTTTCTCGACCGTA